GTAAGATCTCACCAAGAAGGTTGCTGCAAAACCCGAGGTGCTGGAATCTTGTAGGTAGTGAGCAAAGAAAAATTCCCTAATTGCCTGCACCCCAACCCCGGACGAGGACACCCCAAAGGACCCTTCTGGAAGTGTCCCAGAGACACTTCCGAACTGACAGCTCTTTAAAGAGTCCTCACCAGTGTAATGTTACTGGTTCAAAGGAACTTAATGCTTTGTTAAAGATGAACAATCTTTCCCACCAACCCTCTTTCAACGCTCTCTTTCCTATCCTAATTGGCGTTCTTTGTTACTTCTAACTAACCGGTCAACATGACTGCCTGAGAATGTAAACAAGGGTCAATAACAAAACATCTGCCACGGTCTCCCTCGGTCTTCTGGGCTGGCAGTTCGGATCTCTGCCCATCCAGATCGGCTTTCTTTACTGCAACTCACTGGAAGCTAAACGGTTAAACTTGCACTTTTAAACTCGGAAACTGCCTTGCAGCCTGAAGCCCTGGAGTCCAGGTGCTCCTCCTTTAAATAACAGCAAATTTCCCTGACAGGATGACATTGGGTTGTGAGAACAGACTATTTCAGCTGCTTTAAAAACTCAAATGATGACTTCCCAACATTTCATAAACTATTCCTACAGCTTCCTATCTTCCTACACTAAAAATCTGCCTTTCGCTCTTTTCGGATGAGGCTACCCCAGCTCCTGGTTTGTTTACAAGAAAAAAAAATACGTGGCCACGTACAGGAACTTCCGGTTAGCTCAAAGACCATATCCTGGGGACATGATACTCTCTCCGTGATTTGTAAAAATTCTACAGGGCTTCTTGGTTTACTTGGAAACATCCCAGTGGACTGCAGAAACACTGATTCATAAAGCCTACGCTCTGTGTCGAATCGCCTACACTCTCCCGCGTGGCTGTGTCTCTGCCCCACACTCCAGCTCCTGGCTCCTACCATCGCGGTAGGCTTAGGTCTCAGCAGCCTGATACTTTCCTGCACTTCCTTGGCCTCCCAGCCCACCAGCCTTAAAAGGCACGCTGCTACTGCTTGCTTTTTATCTTATTCCAAAAAAAATCTTATCTCTTTCTTCAGCTTCAGCTGTGTTTGTCTCCTTAATAAATACCTAAATTTACATATCCGCTCTGTTATCCCCATAACAGTTTAAAATACACTTTGCCCCCTTTTTCACCCCAAAGCAGCTGTTTTGCTCTTTCTACTATGCCTGATTTGACTCATGATACATTATAAAGGATTCATCATTACCAATCTCCTTGTATATTGTATTTCTGATTAAAAATCTCCTTATAGATTGTATTTCTGGTTGAGAGCCTTTGCCTCCATATTAAAATAACTTCATTATTATTTATTAGGCTAAATTTAGCAGCGATAAAGCACAAAGTTTCAAGCCTGTAAGACTTATAAACTATAAACAATAACTTTACTTAAATCATAAACTATTAAAGATAATTAAGAAATACAGCCTAATGATTAATTACCTAAATAATTGTTTGGATGACTTACTTAATTATTGTAATATTTTATATGTGTATATGTGTATAATATATTTATACTACATACATATATAATAAATTCAGATAAATAAACTGTTAAAGATAATTTTCTTTAACTATAAACTATACAACTTACTAAAAATTTACTTAAGTTATAAGCTATTAAGAATTCAAAATACAGATTATTGACAAATATTTAAATTTTATTCAAATGTATTCAAAGATTATTTGAATATATTCTCTTATATATTTAAAACTCTATTTATAAACATATTATCGATATAAATAATTCTTTACTTAGATCCCTGCCATTTAAAATGTTTAAAACTCTCATATAAGCAAAACTATTCCGTTTTCTAGCTTCTGCTAAGGCTCAATTTTAATTATGTATACTTTGGAGTCAAGTGCCTTCCTTAACCTACTAAAAAGACAGGGTCAATTCTCCAAATTACTCCTTTCCAAAAATAATCTCAAAACCTAAATTCAGCATCTATAATCATTGCCCCTATAAAACCAAGGCTAGATATACTGTCTAGTCACAAGCTTAGTATTTCATATTTCCTTTAATTATTTTTAAATATAAAATGTAAAAATTCTCCTGATTTTAACAGGGCGGTGGTGGCACACACCTTTAATCCCAGCACTTGGGAGGCAGTGGCAGGTGGATCTCTGTGAGTTCAGGGCCAGCCTGGTCTATAGAGCTAGTTTCAGGATAGGTTCCAAAGCTACAGAGAAACCCTGTCTGGAAAAACTAAAAAATAAATAAATAAATTCTGATTATGATGGGGATAGCTCTTTAATTTATATACATACAGCCTTCTAAACAAGGAAGGGGATATTACTGCTTTTAATCAAAATTATTTTTAGGTTTCCAAACTTCTACTATGACTCAAAAAATAAGTCACTTTGCCTCTTCTACAACATAGATCTCAATGCAGACCACAAATACTAATAATGTGATATATCTGACATTTTTGCCTCTTAGGAGTTTTTATGACCTCATAAGAACCTTATAAACATAAGAACATAAACATATATAAACATATAAACATAAGAACATAAGGTTCTTATGAGCTTCAAGAGATCAGTCTCTATCCACCACATCATCACAGGGAAAATGAACTCAAGTGTGTATGACTTGTCTACAGTTTGTCTTCTTCCCTGCCTATTTCTTTGGGGAGAGGAGGACTGTCCCTCTCTCCCTGGCCTGGAATGCTCTTCTCTCATCTGCCAAAACCTTGTACTTCAAAATTCCAAGTGTGCACCTAAGAGAAAAAGTTTCCTCTTTAGGATTCCTTAACTTCACGTTCTGCCATTAACATCTACTTGTCCCACCAGATTTATAATCATTTTAGAAGTATTGCTGACTTTTCTTCCTCTGCGCCCCGCCCTCTCACTCCAGGAGGCCCTATTGCATGTTCTCCAGACACAGATGGCCCAAAACTGCCTGCCTGTCTCACAGAGCCTGAAACAGACTCATCTTCCTGGGTTTCCACTGTGTTCCAGTGAAAAGACAAAACCCCCAGCTTCGCCCCATATCAGCAGGAAGCAACCACGAGAGATCTCTACATCCTGTTCCCACACTGAACTCTACAGCCCAGGGACCGCACTGCCTTTCAAAAACGTTCTATTACTAATTGCACAGATTCTTCCCAGGATCCTGTAGGTTAGTACACAAGAATCTCCTTTTTCTCTTCTGAAAATTTTGTACTGATTTAAAGCCCCATCCTTAATTAATCCTCCTTATATCTCTGGGGAGCCTCAGTCATGGTCCCTCACCAGCTGCAGCACACAAGCAGAGTGGGTCCTGTACCCCACCTGGGCAGCATGCTCCGCTGACCCAGCTGTCAGCGGCACAGGTGAGCCAGTCTTGAAAGCATGAGAGCTACAGAGCTGATCCTGCCCATCCCTGGCCCATGGGGCTGCAGGGGCCATGGTATCATCTGGACCAGGGCTGTGGTTGAAGGCCAAGTCTGGGCTGTGCTGATGTCTGTACCTCCTGAGACCATACTGCCACACGGGGGTGGGGTGGGGTGCATACTGATGATCTGAGTGACCTGCACGACAACCGCGGACCATGGTGACATCTGGGCCAGGGCTGCTACCAAGGGCCATGTCTGGGTCTGTGACCCTGGAACAGCCAGGGTCTGAGTTGATGTCTGTGACTTCTGTTACGAAAAGAGCTCAGAAGATGCCCAGGGTCTGAGACTCATGCTACCATTAGGGCTATACTCATCTGGGTGCTCTGTGTTGCTACGGGGCCATGATAACGTCTGGGCCTGAGCTGCTGCCCAGGGCTGTATCTGAGTCCATGGTCTTCCTGCAGCTGGGGTCTGTGATGAAGTCCACGGCCCATGTTAGCACAGGTGCTCGCTGGAGCCACGCTGTGCTGAGCCAGCCCCACCCACTGTCCCTGGTTGGTCCAACCCTCACGGGATACTGCAGCTGGAGAGCTGGCCTTATCCCCTCAGGGGAGAGTTTGCCCCTGCACTTGGGAAAGATGGTCCCACCCCTTACCACAGGCATGCACCTCACCTGGGCAACACAGTAGATCTTACTGGGGATGCAGGTAAGATGGCCTGGGTGAGAGCTGACCCCGACCCCCTCTTCCGTCAGGTGGTGGCATGAGTGACCAAAAGATGTCCTCCTGCCCCCACCCATTACCTCCTGTGACAGCTGAGAGCTGGCCCTGGGTTATGAGGGTGAGATAATGAGTCCTGCCCCTCACCAGCTGCAGGACACAGCAGCACACACAGCTCTGTACCACACATGGGCAGCAGTCTCAGCTGACTCTGTTGTCAGGGGTACAAGTGAGCCAACCTTGAGGACATGAGATCTGAAGAGCTGATTCTCCCCACCCCCCACCGTATGCCCTTTACAGCAGTTGGGAGGGAGGGCCATGGACCATGCCTGGACAACATTGTAGAGCTGGCCCTGGTGATGTGTGGGTGACCCAGATCTGAGGACCTGAGAGCAGAGCTGGCTCTGCTCCGTCTCTGTGAAGCAGGCAGCCCTGGGTAAGCTGGTGGAGGCACTGCTGGAGAGATCACCTGGGCAGTGACCACAAGGGAGCAAACACTTGCAAGTAAAGAAGAATGGACTAAAGGGTAAACTATGACTCAACGGACCACACTATGGACAGCTTCCATGAAAAGGTTCTCCTCCTTTGTTTGTTTTTTTTCTTTCTTTCTTTTTTTTTTTTTAAAATTTGTCTGATTTGAGGGGGAGGCCTCAAGGGCCGAGGACAGATGGGAGGAGATGGAGAAATAAGTGGAATCAGAATGATGTAAAATCCACAAAGAATCAACAAAAGAAAATATTCAATCTCTTTTAAAAGTACAAGTCTTTCATCTGTGGCCTCCTTTAAAAGTCAAAATTTAAATATGTTCTTCAAGAGAGATAAACCAGGACACCCGCACAATCTGAAGAAAGCAAAACCAAACTCCAACAGTATAGATAACACAATGTACAATTAATTATCTGAGATTCACTCACAATCTTCTGGACTCCTCCAAAGGGTTTGGGTTCCTTATCCGGTTCTGCCCTTCGCAGTACACACAGTTCATCTTCCACACTCTGGCTGACTCCACCCCTCTGCAGCTACTGTTCTTGGTGATCTTCTCATGGTACTCATCTCCAAAATGCTGGGGTCCCTTGCTGCCACTGGGCTGCACTTTCACCGATGATCTCTCACTGGCTCTCTTCATGATGCCGAGCCTCAATTTCTTTTCATGACCCCTTCAATTCTGGGCCTTCAAATGCTACTGAAGCTGCACCTTCACCAATGGCCTATTCTTGTCACAATGCCAAGTCACAATTAGTCTCTATTATCCCTTCACGGCTGCAAAACTAATACCGCCTTGGTGATGCTTACACATTACCAGGTCCTGCTGCCAACACAAGGTACAGCCATGGCTGTCTCTGGAACACAGCTTTTCTCTGCTGTCAGAAAAAACTTCCCATTAGATTTTACCAGGGGTGCTGGTCTCTTCTTAATCAGTTCAGCTAACAGTATCAATTGTCCTAGTAACAAAGAGATTTCACTTTAGTGGTTCTGCTATCTTTTAATCACAGCTGATTTTTCAGCCCCAGCTAACCAGAACCACAGAATCTTAATTCAAAATAACAAATGGCCCTGACAGCCTTTAAACCTCCCTCTGGGACTCCCCACGCTGGCCTCCATGCTCCGTAGTGATCTCAACATTCTTACCTTCCAGGTTCTCACAGAAAGTCCCACCGAGCTCTTAACACTCAATGCAATGGCTTTTCTAGCCCAAAGTTGCAGAGTCTTTCCAGAAACCTCCCCAAATCATCAGATCTGTCAGAGTGATGCACCATTGTGCTGGCACCAACGTGTCTTAGCGAGGGTTTCTATGGCTGCAGCAAAACACCATGACAAAAAAGCAGGGGGGTGAGGAAAATGTTTATTTGGTTCACTCTCCCTCATTGCTGTTCATCACTGAAGGAAGTCAGGATAGGAACTCAAAAAGGGCAGGATCCACAGGCAAGAGTTGATGCAGAGTCCATGAAGAGGTGTTGCTTATTGGCTTCTCCTGGCTTGCTCAACTTGTTTTCTTATAGAACCCAGGACCTAGGGATGGTACACCCACCATGGGGTGTGTCCTCCCCCATTGGTCACTAATTGAGAAAATGCCTTAGAGCTGGATCTCATGGAGGCATTTCCTCAACTGTGGTTCCTTCCTTTCTGATGATTCTAGTTTATATCAAGTTGACCCACAAAGCCACGCAGTACAAGCCCTATATGTGGTTCTTAGTGCTTGAAATTAACTAGGCTGGCACCTACAGTGAAGTCTTGATTTTTTTTCCTTTGGGCCATGAGCTTGGAATGTACAGAGCAAGCTTAAGGCTTAAAGGCATTTCTTAATAGAATAGGGACAGGTGAATACTGGGTATGAGAAAAGGGAGCTAATGCACTGAAAATGATAGAGAATGTTGTCCTACAGTGCAATGACATCCCTAGATTGAAGAGGTCAATTTAGAGCTCAATACTGAAGGGTCTGAAGACAAGAATAAAAATATAGAAATAAAAATATAGACACTAAAGATTAGAAGGTAGAAGTTTAGGATGTAGGAAGAAGGACACATAAAGCTGTAAACCTAAGTAAACTATCAACAACTTTCTCAGCAGATCACAGATCAATCTTCACAGGGGTTACTTTCTTGGATGCCTGGGAAATCTCCATCACGTTAGCTATTTACAACTGACTGTTTTATTACAAGGCCAGAGCATCTCCCTGTAAACTGAGGGTAGTGTCTTGACTGTCCTTAACAAACAGTAGGTGTGAACTGAGTTTAACCCTTAGGAGACAGAGATATGTGACCTCTGAGTCAGACACTGTCTCTGTCATGGGAAACTGGCACTACCAGAGGAGAGGCATGACCTCAGTTTGTACTCGGGGATACCAGGAGACAGTGGATAAATAAAAGAAGGTTTAATGAGCTCTGATAATGAAGGTTATAAAGTATGGCAGTCAATATCTAAAAATTTACCTAAAAATAATGTGAAAGACTTTTCTTCTAAGTTCTCAGTCCAAGAATCCTAATTTATTAACCTTCTAGTGTTATAAGCAGCCCCCTTTCTGACAAATTGCTAAAGATATATGTTTTCTTGCAATTAGTGACTTTCGTTGTAGTCTCTCCTAAAACATATTTCATGATGGCTGCCTAATTACTCATGGACACTAGCACTCACTCCCCTCTTTAGGGTCTCCGCTGACCAACCCAAGGGTCAGGTGCAAGGTTGTAAAATTCTTTTGATCAAGGATAATGCCTGGTGCCCCTGCTATAAAAAGTAGGTTCAAAAACCAGCTGTTTGCCACAGTGTCAGAAGCCTGAACTCTGCTTGTGGTCTCAGCTAGCTGATAAGTTTTTGCGCCCCGCGGTGTTTTACTTTTTGCTTTTTATTTTTTTTTCTTTCAAGTTGCTTTTGGTTTTCCTGGGATCGGGTTTCTGGAATAAAGTTTGCTTTTGGTTTATTAGACTTGGTGGTGCTCTCATCTTTGCGCGTCCCCCCTGGACCCAACAAATACTAATGTTAATGATTGTGTTTAACTTGTTTTCTTATTGTTTTGTTTATATTTTACTTGCTTCTTTCTCTTCCTTCCTTCTTCCCTCCCTCCCTTCCTTCCGTCTTGTTTGGTGGGAACAATCCAGCTCACTCACTGAACTACTGCTTGAGCCAGAAAGTCCCATTCCTGTCTGTGAAAACCCTACTGACTCAGAGAATCTCTGAACAAAGGGAAGGCAACAAAAGCCCAGTTCTCCACTCTTCAGGGATCAGGCATTCTTCCTCCCCTGAAGTTGCCACTGCCCAAAGCCCCCACTAAAGAATTCAGGTTTTGACCATACTTGGGCATAAACCCAGCTTGTGGCAGACACTCATCACCCATGCCTACAACCTATATAATCTCTCTGCTTTAGTTCTGGCATGTGACTTCTGCCTCAATCTCCTGTCTCAGGCTGGAAAACTCACCCAAGAGTTGCTCTGCTCAAATAACCATGTTCTTTTACTTTTTAATTCGGCTTGGTCTGGATTATTGTGTCTGAGGTACAGAAAACCTATTACTTTCTTTTTCTTTATTTCAGTTTTTCTAGACAGGGTTTCTTTTGTGTATTATTGGCTGTCCCTACAACTAGTTCACTGGAACAGGCTAGTTTCCAATTTATTGATTATCCTGCTTTTGTCTTGGAAGTCAAGGATGGCTGCCACCATGCCTGGCATCTGAAATTGGTTTTGAGTCAGGGTATCACCATGTAGCCATGAGTGGCTTTGAATTCACAGTTCACCTTTCTTACAAGTGCAGAGATTATGGGCTTGCACCTGCACTTTCCTACAATGTTTTGATACTATAGGCTGGCGGGTGGTACGGTTACAGTTGGCCAATCAGGGACCATACTACTAAAAGGAACGAACTTTCCGACCAAGAGCATGAATGGTCATAGTGTGCTTCCCCTGCAGACAATTTTTTTTTTAAAAAAAGCTTTGTTTAGCAAAGTCACCCCAGGACTTCTTTCGGGCAACTGCGTGTTCTGCTGACGGCAGGCCTCTTTTGGAGGTCATCAAACACATCACAAGGACAAAATGGTGGGTGCGCCTTCAGCTCCCAGGAACCAGGGGACCAGTTTGGGACCCTAGCTGAAGTTTGTAATGGCCTGTGAAGTCCACTGGAAGTTGGTCTGTGGCCAAGCAATGCCTCTGCCCACGTACACTTATCCTGCAGGCAACCTGTAGTCCCACATCCCCCACACAACATAGATCCTGCAGCACCTTGGCCTCAGATACCAACAGGGCCCCAGACCACAGGGCCATGCACAGCATCCAACAGTGACAGGAGCCACGGTCGTCAGCACGTGCCCCCTTGGCTGTTCCAGGGCCCTGGACCAAGGCCTGGGCCTTATCCACAGCCAGTGCCCAGACATCAGCAAGCCATTCATGACAGCCCCTCAACACTCACCTCTCCAGATGCACCTCTCTCCCCAGTCCACCATCCACTCTGCCTCTCCTCTTCCACTTTCGCACCATACCCTCTCTCACAATGGTACCCAAACATCCTACTCTGGGGTTCTAGGCGGGGTCGCAAGTGGTACTTGATTGCTCAAGCCACTAAGCACGGTGCAGAGCTGTTGCCTTTCCTCTCTCCCATGCCCAGGCCTAGAAACCTCAGTCAGCACTAGGTAGGATGCCCGACCAGAGGCCGTGGGTAGTTTCCTATGTGATTGTGTCTTGCCTAGACCAAAAAGTCTAGGGAGAACCATCTTTGTCCTCCACCAATTCAAGTCTTGTCAGGGGCCATGAGAAGCAGGTGGCAACTGCAACTAGTGTTCAGATGTCAACCCACCAGAGAGACATGGTTACTGATGGAGGATTAATCCTGTCCAGACAAGGTCTGTAGGACCATCGACTCTGAAATCTTTTGCTCATTTTTAATGAAGCAGCTTGGTGTCTCCCCAATACCTGCATTGTAGTGTGTAATCTCATGTGATGTGTATGTGTAAATTCATGATTGCATCTCAATCTTATGGGCACATAGGTCTGTGGGTGGTCAGGAGGATGACTTTTCATTTGGCTGTGTAATTTGATATATAAAATATATATACTGGGACTTGCTTCATAACTCAATCTGTTTATTCCACAAGGACTGTGGCCATTTAGAGGTCTGCTTTGTTCTTGTGCTTTGATGAGAGAATTTAGTCACCAGCCAGAAGCCTTGGGTCCCATAGTCAAATCTCTACTTTGTTCCCAGAAATAAACATAGAAGCCAGTTCCCTGGAACTATCTTCTGCCTGGAAGAACATTTGGTCAGGAGAGGAGCCCTTCAAACATATCATGTTCCAGACCTTCAAGACAGGGGTGGCACGTCCCAGTTTCTTTGATTCTCACTCTGTCCTAATAATAAGGAGATTGGGTGTACCAAATTTACCTACAGCCGACTTGAGAAAGCGCTAACTTCAGTTAGCCTCCCCTTAAAAAAGCTACTAACTCCTTACAACTGCCTTCACTTGGATTTTTTGAGACAGGATTTTAATGTAGGAACGTAATATCATACACCAACTCCCTTCCTTCTTAGAATTTAAAGCCTCCTAAATCAGCTTTTTGCCTCTTAGCACTGCTCAGGTATCCTTCTAGCCATGCCTCCCTGGGACCACAAAGGTGCTGACAGTGTTGTAGTGATATTTCATTTGTATTTTAATAAATAAAGCTTGCCTGAAGTTCAGAGAGTAGAATAGCCGCACTGGTCAGCCTTACAGACTGGGCAGTGGTGACACACACCTTTAATCTCAGTAGCCACACTAGTTTGCCACAGAAACTAGGCGGTGGCAGTGCACACCTTTAATCTCAGCACTAGAGAGGTTTATAAAATGGGAGGAGACGGCTCTCTCACACAATCTCGTTCTGAGATTCCTGGAGGCAGAATCGCCGTTTCGAACTGAGGTAGAGGTAAGAGCCAGTGGCTGGCTGCTTTTGCTTTTCTGAACTTCAGGTTGAACCTCAATTTCTGTCTCTGGGTTTTTATTAATCATGCTACACAGTGTCACTCAGGGAAGCTCTTATCTGCTTTTTGATCCTGAGAAATTCAGGCTACCATAATTGCCTGTGTATGTGTTTGTATATAAGCTGGAAACTTTGTAGCACAAGGGAGCAGGAGAAGAATGAAGAAACTAATGTGAAAGAGTACATAGTGGAGAGTTCATTTTGCCCTCAGATTGTTTATCTAAGTCCTGTACTTTTTTTTTTCTTTTCTTTTCTTTTTTCTCTGAACCCTGGGGGGGCACTGAGGTTGTAACTCAGAGGCTCCTGATATGGTCTGATTGTGGCCAACTGACGCTGGTTGATTGGGCACCACACAGACCAAGACGTCTGGGGGCAGCCATCTGTGTCTTCTCCCAATTCAGGCCCAGGTTGAGATTTGATATTTTGAAGACACTGAAATTTTAATGTGTTTGCATTTGTAAAGACTATGACACTTTTAAGATTATTTATGATTTCAATGTGCGATCTGGGGGATGGATAAGAAAGGAAGGCTTAATAGTGAAGTGTTTGTGTGCCAAGATGACAATGGGTCAGTTGTCCTGGTTGGTTTTGTTTGTCCACTTGGCACAAGCTAGGATCAACAGAGAGGATGGAGACTCAGCTGAGGAAAGGCCTCCATGAGATCCAGCTGTTTGACATTTTCTCAATTAGTGATGAATGGGGGAAGGCCCAACCCATGGTGGGTTATGCCTGAGCTAGTGGCCCTGGGTTCTATAAGAAAGCAAACTGAACAATCAGGGAAAGCAAGTCACTAAGCAGCTCCCCTCCATGGCCGCTGCATCAGTTCCAGCCTCCAAGATCCTGCCATGTTTGAGTTTCTGTTGTGACTTCCTTCAGTGATGAACGTCAATGTGGAAGTGTGAGTTAAATAAACTCTTTCCTCCTCAGCTTACTTTTTGTTCATGGTGTATTGCTGCAGCAATAAAATCCCCAACTAAGACAGGGCACGACAGAAACAGACAAAGACCAGGGATGAGGCAACAGCTCACGCCTATGTCACATCTGATATTTCACTGTATCCATTTTCTGCAAGAAAATTAAAAAAACACCAACAAGAAGATATAATTCATCAGTGGGTGGATACAACAGATATATATGGCAGGATTACTCCACTAATGAGTCAGTTATGAAAATTAACCCTTGAACTTCAGGAAATGTCTTCTTTATCCAAGATCATGAACAATGTCTCCATTCACTACAGGAAATACTCCTAAGCATCAGGATCACACAGAGTGTCAAGAAATAGCCCAACAATGGTCATTCTCTGGTCACAGCGAGGATAGACCAAAGGATTCAACTTTCGGACATGATCATGCTTGTTAGCACTCCCAGAATTTTGAAATAATAACTTCAACACCATGATATTCCCCAGAGTAACAAATTCACTCATTTATTTCAGTTCTTGAGTGTGGATTTTTTTTTTGGCATGTACATCAGAGCACATCATATGTGATTGGTGCACTAGGAAGCCAGATGATGGTATTGTATCCCCTAGAACTTGAGTCACAGACTGTTGTGAGCCACAATGCATATGCTGTGGTCCCCTGAAAGAGAAGTCTGTGCTCTTAAATACTGAGGCATCTTTCCATCCCTTATTCACACTGTCCATATAACAGAAGTACAGAGTAAAATTCACAAATATCTTATTCAGGAGTCTAATAAATTTGATCTCTAAACACGACCATCAAAGATGTTCTTCATATGAAAATGTCTTGATTAATCTTAGTCATATTTTGAGAGACTGTCCTTCTAGCTAAGTAATTTCCCTCATGGGGATTTCCAAAGTGCTCCCATGAAAATAATAATCACAGCTTAACTTGTTGATCATCTAATCCCCACATGGAGATGGAGGAAGGCATTAAATTGTCAACCATTATGGGTCAGCCCAGAGAGGAATGTTTGCTGAGAAAGTCTGTTTCCCAAGATAACCTGTCTTCCTTGGACAAATAATTTCAGTAAGGAAGATGATCCAACTTCCTCATTCCCATGCCCCTCCTATAAAGGTTCAGGTAATTTTCTCCCATTGCACAGCTTCCCGACATAGCAGGAATTTAGGTGCCACATGCTATATATCCTAATGACCAGTGTCCTCTGTTTGAAGTTAAACACCGGCCTCTTTTCAGACTTCTGTCTCCTGCACCCTAAAATCTAGCAAATTGAAAACAGTATTTTTTGGGCTCCAAAGAAGTCCATCCTGTAAAATGATTAATTCCTGATTAATTACTCCTTCATGCAATTTCCACTACTTGGAGAAGCATAAAGCAAAAGAAACAATGCAATCCCAAGCCCTTGATTCTTTGTAGGACTCTCAAAGCACAAGCCCAAGAGAGCTTTTCAAAAAGCCCCCCCCGCCTCTCTCTCTCTCTCTCTCTCTCTCTCTCTCTCTCTCTGCCTCAGAAATTGTTAGTACAAAAGAAAAAAAACTAACTTAAAGTTTGCCAAGTGCTGTTGGTTGCAAGAGGTCATGGGGATACACAGCGGTGACAATCAGTGTTTAACAAGCTGAGCTACCTGCAGAGCCCCACTTGGCAAAGCTGTAGGGTGGATTGTAAATGATTGATTGTTTTCTGTCAGTAACTTTCTTGGGTACCACTACTATACCTTCCTAATAAGAACAGTTGTGGGGTTTTTTCCACAGCCCTTTGGTGGTATGTTGTATACTTATTGGGCACACATATAGCTGTGGATTGCCAGGAAGTTGACTTCTGCTTAATCTATATAATTTTGATGAACAGAAACAATAGGATAGTTTACATTACTCAGACTGACAGAGGAGTCTCAGTCACAAAGACAGTCTTTTACACAAACAGCTAAGTTTGGAATTTAGAGTAGATTCAAAGGAGGCTGGTTGCCCTTAGAGACGAATATTTGGTTGCTCCTAGAGACAAACACATGAGGTCATTTTCCCAGCTGTTTTGCTGATTAAAGGCCGGGATAGAAGCAACTTTATTAGACATAACTGTCTCAGTAATTGATTTTTTGCAGAGTCCCAGTCAATTGTTTACCATCCGGGAACCCTCACCAACTTAGAGCTACATGCAAGGGTCAATGCACCATCGCTAGCCTAAGAGAAATTATGTGACTTATTTTGTATTGGGAGAATGGGCCGGGCCCTGAAAACGTCAGTTATCACTGTCCTGAGTCTGGCTGTGAGAGGAGCAGCTGTGGTAAGGAGAGAGACGGCTGTGTGGAGCTCTGTGAGAGCTGCTGCAGAAATGAGCCAAGTGTGTTCATGTGCTGACCTCATGAGAGATGAAGAAGCAGAAGTGTGAGGGAGAGTGGGGAGTGGGAATAGCGGAGAAGTATGTGTGTGAGAGCTAGGGAAAGAGCCGCGGCTTCATAAGAAACCATGTGAAGAGCTGTGTGAGAGAGTATGAAGGAATGGTGCGACGTGCTGTATGCTGAGAGAGCTGTGTAAATGGGATGTACAGACGTGTAAATGAGCTATGTAAATGAGATGTACAGCCATGTAAATAAGTTATGTAAATGAGATGTGAGCCATGTAAATGAGCTATGTAAATGAGATGTAAGCCATGTAAATGAGCTATGTAAATGAGATGTACAGCTGTGTAAATGAGCTTTGTAAATGAGGCGTATAGCTATGGCTGGGTGGAGATTTGTCTGTGTGAAGACAAGGAAGAGGAAGTTGTACAGAAAAGAGATGTAACAGAGAAATGTATGTAAAAGACAGATGTGTAGCCATGTGAAAATAGGTATGTATGGCCGTGTAGGAGACAGATGTATATATGTAAAGAGAGACGTATATCGGTATATGGAGATATGTAGCTGTGTGCAGACAGAATGAGTCAGAGAGCATTCTTAAGACTCGTTAAAAGAATGTGTTCCCTTATTTTTCCCGTTAGATAGAAAAAGTCTAGCTCTCCAATAGATAGACATTTATTTCTAAATGTTTTTATTTCTAAAAACCCTAAGATAAGAATATTCCTAAGCCCTCACTACTCTGAGGCATTTTTTTTGTTACCCTGGAGCTGGCCTTCCCTGATCTGTTAAAAATTCTCTCCATGATGAGGAATTTTGGCCCACTCTCACAAAGGGAACAATCCAATCCTCTCATCCTTTCATATCATTTTAAAAACGTCATGTATTAACCAAACACACACACACACACACACACACACACACACACACACATACACACACACACACACACACACACACTCTGAGGAGTTTTTTTTTTCTTGGGGAGTATAGCCTAATGCCAAAGCTTGTATTTACCTTATGTCAGGCATGGCATAGGGTTCTGTACTAAGAAAAATGTAAGATCACAAATGTGATGACAGATCCAGCTCTAAAGCAGCCCAGATCCAGCTCTAAAGAAGACTACCAACAGAGCACACCCTCCACAATCCTCCACACCAGTCTGGACTCAGTGCGAACAATGTTCCATGTGCCTTTTCACCACAGCAAGAATGTGGCCCGGGACAGAGTTGTTTGCCAGGAGAGTACAGGGTGGGGGACCTTGTGCAGCACAACACAATGACAGTGCTCTGGGAAGGAGAAAAGCAATACGGTATCCTCTAGGGTAGTCCTGTTGGCACAGTGCCAGGGGAACGTCAAAGCTGCAGAGGCACAGTCTCTGCTATGTCCTAAACAACAACTTAAAATTTCAGAAGCTCTGGATACATTCACTCTTTCCTGCCTCTAGTGGATCAAGGTGTCCTGTGGGACTAAAATCAGCAGAAATGAATGTCGGACGGGACCAACACAATACATCTCTCAGCTTCTACACTGGGTTCAAACCCAGCTGCAATGGTGAGGCTTTCTGAATACCCATTCACCTCAGTGGGCATTTGATGAAAAAAGTAAAAGAATCCCTGATTGGTGAAAAAGACATATGGCTTGAATATTCCTGATTGGAGATCCTGAGGCTAAAATCAATGCAGTTGGGGTAGAAAGAATTCTGAGTTCTCTCCAGATCCAGGAATGAGAAGGAGGGCCTGCTATGCAAACACAATAGTCTGGAATGGGACCTTTTCACACCTTATACTTAAACCTATCCATCTCCTTGTTCAGCTGTGTGTTTTGGTTTTTTGAATCAGGGCCTCTCTATTATGGAGCTGGACTAGTCTAAAACACGCAATGTAGTCTAGGCTAGCTTGGAGTTCATATCACCTACCTCTGCCTCCAAAGCATTGGGATAAAAGGCTTCATCTATCATGTCCCACTCAATCATTTTATAAAAAGAAAATTAGAATACCAACAAGAGAATACAATTACTAAATGCACAGAAAAATGAAATTACATGGCAATTTTCATCAAATGTCAATAAATTATTCAAGAGTCATAAAGTGGATACTAGATGTTAAGCAAAGGATAGCCAGACTTCAACCCGCAGCTCCAGAGAAGCTAGGTAACAAGGAGGACCAAAGAGGAATGTACAGATCACCCCGGGAAGGGAAATTAGATGAGATCTCCTGGGTAAACTGGGGGTGAGGTGGGGCAGTAAAGGGGAGAGGATGGGGGATAAGAACATGAGGGAAGGATGCTCGAGATCTGGGGACAGAGTGAGAGAGCAATGAAAAGGATATCTTGATAGAGAGAGCCGTTATGGGGTTAGGGAGAAACCTGGTACTAGGGAAACGCCCAGGAATCCATAAGGATGACTCCATCAATAGTTGAGAGGGTGCCTATACTGGTCTCTCCCTGTGATCAGATTGGTTAATATCTAAAGAGTCGTCACAGAACCTTCATCTAGTAATTGAGGGAACCAGGTGCAGAGAGCCACAACCAACTACCAGGCCAAACATCAGGAACCCAGTCGAGGAGAGGAAGGAGGGAATATATGAGCAAGGGAGGTCAAGATCATGAAGGGGAAATCTGCAGAGACAACAGAACCAACCTTGTGGAAACTCACGAACCCTAGAATGACAGCTGTGGAGCCTCCATGGGACCAAACTAGTCCCTCTACATGTGGGAGACAGTTGTGTAGCTTGCTGTGAGGGTCCCTCAGGAGTGGGGTCAGGATCTATCCCTGGTACATGATCTATCTAGCTTGTTGGAGCCCATTCCCTATTGTGGAAGGCCATGCTCAGCCCTAATGCAGGGGGAAGGGCTTGGTTCTGCCCAACTTAATGTGCCAGATTCAGTTGACTCCCTTTGGGAGAAGTGAATGGGGGTTGGACTTGGGGGGAACAAGGGGCGGGTAGGAGGAGTGGTTGGAGGGAGAACTGTGCTTAGAATGTAAAATGAAATTAATAAAAATAAAAAGATAAATGTCCAGACACTTTCTAGATGTACTCGAAACCAAAACCAAAAAAAGAAAGAAAGAAAGAAATTCTTCTCTCATACCATACATTCTGACAACATTTTCCCTGCCTCAGTTCCTCGCAGCTCCTTCTCACCTCCCCTGTGCCACATTCTTAAATGTCTTAAAGATTTGGTTTCTTTATCACAAATCATCCTTACTAAATGTTTACTTTGAAAAAGAATAGAACTTTCTTTCCCTCTTAATTAAAAAAAAAGAGATGAAGAAATTTTTTAGGCCCCCAAATAGGAGTGATGTCTACATATACAAGAAAAACTCATTCACAAGCCTCTCAAGACAGAACTGACAAAGAGATCCTTACCTAGTGATGAGGTAGACACCTAAGAATTTAACTCTGGTAGCTTGCCATGCCTTCTATTGCTTCTGCTGTAAATAAAGTTATTTCAACACCTTTATATTCACCAGAGGGACAATATTATCTACACATGCATTAAGGTACAATAAGCGAGGTGACCTGAGTCTGCAGGGCAGGCGTATCTTCCAGGTTCTGGTGTATCTTTATCTCGTGTATCTTTCTTGTGTATCTACACAATCTTGTGCAGACTTGTACATACACAAGATGGAGCTATGGAGCAGCCTGAAATGCAAGCCGTATCTCAACAGTGAGGGGGGGCAGGAAAAGGGGAAAGGGGCTCAAGGGAAGGTGTCATGGGTAATTAATTTAGCATCAATCTCCAAGATCTAACTGGGTTGTTGTAAGAGTGCTCACCTGGGTGAATAAAACTCGTGTACAGTAAAACTCTGATTCTCTCAGCTGCCACTGCCTTTTATATGTTGATCCCGAGGACCTCCTGCAGTTTCTAACTTTTGTCTGTCTCGATTCCCCTGTGGTTCTACATAAACTTATGGGGCTGCAGAAGGATTATGAAAAGCTTTTTCCTTACTTATGGCTAAAATAGTATAGAACCACAACAAACTGTCAAAATAAATAAAAGCATCAGTAAAAACTGAAAAAGAAAACTCCAATTCTTTACTTGAAGAATACTGAGAATACGAACTGTACAGTTTCCATGAATGTAGTTGATGATGAGATGGTGACTGTGTAAAGGTTAAAAGCACTCACTGCTTTGAATCCTAGTACTGAGCTCACTCACCTCACAACAGCTTCTAATTCAAGTTCCTGGGGATCCTACACCCTTTTCTGACTCCAGGTTCTTACATGCATGGGCACACAAACACAACAGACTGACAGAAACTATAAACTTTGGGGGAAAAAAAATTCTACATAAATGATAACCAGAAAATGCTTAGTCACATAAGTCTAATTACCAAGAAGGCTTTTCTACCATATGTATGTATGTATGTATGTATGTGTGTGTGTGTATACATATATATATATATGTATATATCTATCAACTGTTCAATATGACAACTCTTACAAAAGTTAAATTACTAAGGCAGAAAAAGGATTTTTCACAATGCTTACATGCATAAGTCTTCATTCTTGAGTGAATTCTTTTATGGCTGGAATGATCATAAAGTTGAAGGAACAGTTTCCTACATGCATTACACAGAAACCCTTTCTCTCCGGTGTGAATTCTTTCATGAGCAATATGGTAAGAGGAACTGGTGAAGGATTTTCCACAGGTTTTCCGTGCATAAAGCTTCTCTCCAGTGTGAATTCTTCCATGAGAGTTGCACCAGCTGAAATTGGCAAACGTTCTCTACAATGTTTACATGTTTAAGGTTTCTCTCCAGCATGAGCCCTTTCATGCTTGTTACGATAACCAGAACTGGTGAAGGCTTTTCCACAATGCTTACACGTGTAAGGCTTCTCTCCAGTGTGAATTTTTTCATGACTGTTACGAGAACTCAAAATGGCAAAGGTCTTGCCACAGTGCTTACACGCATAAGGTTTCTCTCCAGTGTGACCCCTTTCATGAGCACTACACCAAATAGAACTGATAAAGCCTTTTCCACAATGCTTACACACATAAGGCTTCTCTCCAGTATGAAGTTTTTCATGAGTGTTACGAGAACTCAAAATGGCAAAGGTCTTGCCACAGTGCTTACACGCGTAAGGCTGCTCTCCAGTGTGAATTCTTTCATGAATATTACGATAACTGGCTTGGGAGAAGGCTTTTCCACAGTGCTTACATGCGTAAGGCTTCTCTCCAGTGTGACTTCTCTCATGAGTGATAAGAGAACCCAAAATGACAAATGTTTTGCCACAGTACTTACATGCATAAGGTTTCTCTCCAGTGTGAATTCTTTCATGAACATTACGATAACTGCAATTGTTGAAAGCTTTTCCACAGTGTTTACATGTGTAAGGCTTCTCCCCAGTGTGACCTCTTTCATGAGTGATACATCCAGTCAAACTGGCAAAGGTTTTGCCACAATGCTTACATGCGTAAGGTTTCTCTCCGGTGTGAATTCTTTCATGAATACTACAAGAAGTGGGACTAATGAAGCTTTTCCCACAATGTTTACATGCATAAATCTTCTCTCCAGTGTGAATTTTCTCATGACAGTTACGAGACCTCAAAATGGCAAAGGTTTTGCCACAGTGCTTACATGAGTAAGGTTTCTCTCCAGTGTGAATTCGTTCATGAATGCTACAATAACTGGAACTTCTGAAGGCTTTTCCACAGTGCTTACACATGTAAGGCTTCTCTCCGTTGTGACCTCTCTCATGAGTGTTGCACCAGCTAGAACTGGTGAAGGCTTTTCCACACTGCTTACATGCATAAGGCTTCTCTCCAGTGTGAGTTACTTTATGTTTCTCAAAACACGAAGCATACTTAAATGCTTTCCCACATTGTTTACAAACGTATTTTTTCTCTCCAATATGACTTTTTTCAGGGATGGTAAGGTCACTGGAATCAATGAAGGCTTCTTCTTCGCTGTGGCTATGAGCAAACGATTTCACTTCTGTATAGATTCCATCACCTTCTGCACTACATGTATATCTCCTTACTATTTTCCCATTGAGTTTATCTCCACATTGTGTTCTCTTGTGAGGCTGATTAGAAGGGAGATTCCTAAAGGCTTCCTTACACTGTTGATTCTTATAAGATTTCTCTCTGGGAAAAGTGTCAAGTACCTGAAGTGATTCAGAATGACTGGTATTTTTCCAATGTTTCTGATGTATAAAAGACTCCTTACAGTGAGACTGTTTCCCTCTAGCTTGGTTTCTGAGATATACATGTGAGAATGAATGACCAATGATGCTTCTTACATGCAATTGGCTTTCATATCCTGTTATTATAGGAGGCATGTCTTCATTAACCATATTCATTAGAATTGGCTGAAGGTTGTCATCACACTGAATATTATATTCATATCTACAATTTTTCTCAACCAACTGAGTTCTGCAAGAAATGAGAAGACAATTACTTTAAAAAAGGGGAAACGTTGAAGAGAGAGTTCATGTGGTCTTCTATAACTTTACTATTAGAGGCTGTAGCATAATGCCTCCAATGTTGAGGACAGTGTAACCACTTGTGAAATCCATCATCTGTAAAGAAGCAGAGAGTTGATTATGAAGGTGGCAGGATGGTGGTGGTGGTGCACACCTTTAATCAAGCACTAAAGAGGCAGAGGTGGGCAGAATTCTGTGAGTTCAGTATCAGCCTGATTTACAGTGCTAATTCCAGGACTGCTAGGGCTAAAAAGAGAGGAATCCTGTCTCAAAAAACCAAAATCAAAAACCAAAATCAAACAAACACATGCAGGAGCTGTATCATAGTTTTGGAGGTTAAGAGCAATTTTCGCTGTTCCAATAGACCAGGGTTTTATCACCAACATTTATGTGGAGAACTCACAAATTCCTGTTAGTCTTGAGTTGAAGGATCTATTGGGGTCTTCTGGCCACCACAAATCTTTTTACCATAAGAAGTGTACAACGTATACATATGCATACACATAAAATAATTAATGGATATAAATGGAGTAAACATCCAGTCACAGGTCTTGGCATTAAGAGAAAATTATGACAATCACGTAAAGTTGTGGAACACTGTGGCATTTGGCATTCTACATCCTCAACCTGTGTTGAGGTTGTAATCAACCAGAAGCATCAAGGGTCATGAGAGAATAGGGACCCTTCAATGAGAAAATGACTCAAAAACACTAGGCTGTAAACAAGTCTTTGGGAGCATTTTCTCAGTCCTGATTCATGAGGGAGAGCTTAGATGATAGTGGGACGTGTGCCCCTGGACAGGTGGGTATGAGTTTTATAAGAAAGATACCTCAGGAATCCATGAGGAGCAAGCTAGTAAGTAACATTCCCCCATGGTCTCTAGTTCTATCCCAACCTCCAGGTTCCTGCCTACTCTGAGCCCCTGTCCTGCCTTTCCTTGTTGTACTGTAACATGGAAGTGTAAGTCAAAATAAACCCCATTGCTTCCAAAGATGAGTTTGGTCATGGTGATTATCAAAGGAACAAAGAGGACTCTCAAACAGAAATTGGTTACCAGGTTCATGGGGGCATTCATTTACCAGAGCTGACCACGTGGCTTTTAGGTCTGTGAAAATGTCTGGAAACTTAGGTTAGCTGAACTTAGTCACTGAGTGTGAGAATAAAGAGCTGTCCCAGGAGCTCAGAGGCCAGGAATGCTGACAGTAACGATGGAAGTCTGACTTCTATGCTTTTAGGAATGATGGAAGGTACCTCAAAGGCTCTACTGGGGCAGTTCCTGTGATATCTCATAAGAACCTGTGTTTTCCAATGTTATAGTGTGATTTATATTGTGAGATTAAGAGTATTTAGGGAGAAACTAGCCATGAACGGTTCCAGATTAATAGTGTGGGGTGTGTGTGTGTGTGTGTGTGTGTGTGTTGTGTTGACAAGAGGTGAAGGGGGTCTAGTTAGTTTCCATCAACTTGACAGAAGCTAGTAGACACATCTGAGAAGAGGAAACACCAAAGGAGAAAGTGGCTGTACCAGACTGACAGTTAGATATGTCCATAGAGACGTCTCCTGATTACTATGGGTGTTGTCCTATAGGGGGTGGGCCGGGGTTGAAGGGAGGTGGCTGAGTAAGGGATGAGCACACAGTACACAGCATCCTCCATCACCTCTGCTTCAGTTCCTGCTCTGCTTCCCTTTATTATGGACTTGTGACAAGGAAGGGTAAGTAAACATGAGCTCCACCTCAGAGTTGCTTTTTCTCACAGCAAAAACAGAGGGAACAAACACACCCCTTTCTATTCAAAGCCTCAAAAGAGTATACAGAATGATTCTGAATAATTTTAAATACAACAGAAAGATTTTGTGTAGCAAACTCTTGGAAAAGCTCTTTCAGATTAATGTTCCAGCACATGTTAGTGATATTCACAGATTACAGATACAGATTACACAAACAGGCAATGAGATAATTCAATGTTCTGCTATAGGAATTTGGGGTTAGATACAATGTACAATTAGATATGGATCATTTAGTAGGTTCTCGGACATCATCTCACTCGTAAATGTTAGATATCAATTGCTTCCTATTGAGTATAATTTACCTCAGACTTCTGCAGAGATCTTTGTAGTTCTCTTCAATGTTTTGTTCTAGTCCTTTTTCTAAAAGTAAACCCAAAAAATTCATTATAATATCTTCAATATTAAAAAAGATTACAATCCCACTCTTAAGACACAGGCATGCTTACTAAATTCACCACATGTTCAATTCAAGGATCCAAATCACAACACTATACACACAAACTGGAAACAGTTGCTCTCTGATTGAATAAGCAATGGGAACAAGCTGTGTTTTTACCTATGGACATAAGGTTCAAAAGTGTCTCCCCCATCACATCTCTGTAGAGCATCTTTTGACTGGAATCCAACAAAGCCCACTCTCCCGGGGTAAATTTCACAGCCACATCCTCGAAGGACACGGACTCCTGAAACAGAGCACATACTATATGGTTACCTGTAACTGCGGGCTGACACTACACAGAATCACCGAGCACTGCGGATTCTGAGGACACTTCTAAGTGATGATGTCAATAAAGGTTAATTCCGAGACACCTGTAGAATGCTATCTTGAATTCTTATTGTAAAAAAGGCAGATTCACAGTCCCTGTTAGGATTCTGCTGCTGAGATGAGAGCCCATGACCAAGGCAGCTATTATAAAAGACATCAACTAATCTGGGCTTCTTTACCCTTTTAGAGGGTTGGTCCATGACTATGACAGGAAGCAGACAGGCATGGAGCTAGAAGAGTGCCTGCATGTTTTACTCCTGGAAAAGGCAGCTGACAAAAAGACAGACATAATGCCAGGAATGAGCTTTTAAACCTCAAAGGACACCCCCAGTGACATACCTCCTACACTGAGACAACATTTCCTAATAGTTTCCAATGAGTTTCACTAAGAACTAAAGTTTCAAATGCATGAGCCCATGGGGCGAGGCACACACACACACACACACACACACACACACACACTTGGGATGAAGCACTTTGTGAACTATATAGGGATTACATTAGTGGAAGGAGTGAGCTGAGACACTACACAACTACACTATTTGTGATTGGGTGTGATGTGACCAGCCCCTCCACTGTTGTGCCTTTAATGAACTGCACCCTTCAGTTCTGCTTTCAGTCACATTACCCAGAGTCATTTATGACAGCCAGATGAAAAGCCCGATTCAAGCAGTAGATTTTTTAAAAACTTGAACCCTTGTTGTAAGTAAAACTAACAGGTCCTCTGTTGGCATTAGAACTTGTTTTGGAAGGAATATGGAAGAACTGGCAAGAAAATTCTCTCTAGATAAAAATAAAATATAACAACCCGAGAACACATAGAATACAAAGCTGAATGAATCAGTCAGGGAGACACGTACAGGACAAAACTGCTAAAAATAAATGCCTACAGCAGAGACAAGTGTCAGGAAGGTTCAGTGGGAAGTGAAGATTTAGTCAGGAACTAGAGTACGAGCCATTCCTGTGTTACTGAAGTCAAGAATATAACTTCGTTCTTCTGTACATCAGAGAGCTTGAAATGAACTTGAAAGCAAAGATTGTCAAGTCCTTGGTAGAAGAAAAGAATATAAGCAAGTTAAAATTTTCAACAAGGAGAGCTGCTATCAGAGATAACAAGATTAATAGTAGCCATTGGGACAAGTGTAAAGCAGGCAGCTGGGCACATGGAACTCCATTGGCATGGTCTCTTCACACAGTCCTCTCTGAACAATGAACTTAGGGATCTGTGGGTATCCTTCCCAGAAGAATTATCTTTGGTGTGTTGTGTCTATGTCTGCTTTAAAAATAGCAACAAGTTACTTCTTTTAGTTATGCCTCAGTAACTCCTCATTGCATTCAAATACTTTTGGAAAACATAGGATATATGGGAAATAAGCTGATTTGAAATGAAGTAGTTTGAGGTGTATGTGCAATAGCGCAAAGTGTTCTCAGAGGAATGCTCAGGAAGAATTTTTCTTTTAATGTTTTCACAACTTCCTCTTCCAAATAAGTTGGCCTGCACAGTTCTGTGGTGTAGGAAGTCCTTCTGTCTATGTGTTGCATTCATTGCTTAATAAAGGAACTGCTTTGGGCCTATAGCAGAGCTATAGGGGAACAGAGCTAGGTGGGGAAAACTAAACAGAATGCTGGGAGGAAGAAGTTCTCCAGAGTCAGAGAAGGATGCCATGGAGCCACCAGAGTCAGACATGCTGAATCTTTGCAGGTAAGCCACAGTCATGTGGCCATAAACAGATGAATAGAAATGGGTTGAATTAATATAAAAGTTAGCCAATGAAAAGCTAAAAATAATGGGCCAAGCAGTGATTTAATTAATACAGTTTCTATGTGAATATTTCAGGTGTAAGCTAGCCGGGCAGCTAGGAACCAACAAGCAACCCCTCCAACAGTTCTAAACTCAGATGACTATGGAAAATGCATGCTCAATTAACAAGGTTTACCAAATGTAATCCTGTTGGTTCAAACATTGAATCTTTTGTGCATGCTGTGTCTTTTAGCAACCAAATCCTTCTTCTTTCAAAGCCCCCAGGATGACTGACACCTTTGAATACCCTCTCTCATGAAGCCTGTGGACACCTTTCATCACATATTTTTGGCCTGTAGTACGTCTTTGCTTAGAATAAATTTACCCTCTCTAAACTGGAATACCATGCCTAGACCCCAACAACCAATTATAAACTCAGTAAACAGTCACATGGAGGAAATAAATTCGCCTCTCTAACTGTTAAAAATTTCCATAAGTATTTTCTGCCCAATTTCCATTACGGCTCATCAAACCAATCAGTTGGGTCAAAAACAATCACCAACCTGAGGTTTCCATGTCCTACAATATAGGTTAATAGAGGATTCACCATCTCTGCTTTATTTTTCACCAGAGATGGATAAGAAATCAATAGAAAATACGAGAAAAGTAGAATAATAGGTGATCCTGCCAAATCATAAACAATGTGGAACTCCTCAGTTTCAATTTAACACAAATTCTCTGGCCTAAGTTTCCAGCCACATAGAACTCATGGGACGTGTTTAGGTTTTCCCTTCTCTTTTGCTTTTTCTTCCTGTGTGAATCAGAGCAACATCAGTTGGAAAGAACTTATTTCTTATTGACTTTATACCACAGCAGTACATGAATAGTAACTGTCTATGTTAACCATAAACATTATAGTCTTATAGAAGGTCATTGAACAAAGACACAATGGAAAAACCAGTATTCTTATTGAGATGGAACCCAATTTCCCCTAAATATTCTACAATGCACATATACAAATTTAAAAATCCCACAAGCACATTGGATTGTGTCAGTCAAAATTTCGGCAGAATGGGATTGGTCCTCAAGAAGGCCACCCTTAGCTAAGAAGGTATGGGCACCTGACATCTTTGTAAAGATGAAGAATCACTTTTTCCTCAGAAATGAAGCCACTAGTAGGATGACCACACCCTCGGGATGGCCATACACATTTGGATAATACTGACTGAACTCTGTGGATTATAAAACAAAATAAAACAGGTGGCAAAAGACACATAAAAGAAAGGTGTGCTGGTTGTGTTCGTAGGGGTGAGATATGATTAAAATATATCACTTACAGAGAGTGATAATAAACATATTCAAGTTTGTCTTTTCGTAAGCTACTGGAGGCATGTGAGTGGTCAGAGCCCATTGCTAAGGACCTCCAAAGGCCAGTCTCTTCCCAGAGTATACTGTTAACTGCCATAAAGACCAGACCCAGCCCTGCCAGACATAGGCAGTCAAGCTCTGCTCTACAGAGTAATCAATCCTCACTCTGGAAATCTTTACCCTGGAAAGCTCCACCTCCAAGAAATGCTATATATATAAACCCTGTCTTTTGCTCAGTTCTCTCCTGCTTCTCACCTGAGCTGAGGCAGCCACCCTCCTGGGTTTTGCCTTGCAATGAATCTGTTGTGTGGTTTGTTTTGAAGTGTGACTTTGTATTGTTCCTTGTGTCCTGACATAGGATATCTTTCCCTTCAGAGCTCTAACACTTGCCATGGGGAATAAGCCCCCCATCAGAACTATAGCACTTCCACTGGGAAAGCCTTGTTGCTCAGAACTGTAACGCTTATACTTTTAATAACCAAACAATAAATCATATGTCTATAGGGCTGGGATACAAGCAAGCAGGTGAAAAGCTTGCCATGCAAGCCTGAAGACCTCAAACCCTGTCAAGGATGCGTGGCAAAGTGAATACTTACGATTGGTGGTGGATTAAATCGCTGCAATTAGCAACCAAATCAGTGTGAGCTTGCTTCAAAAGTGAAAAGAGAATTACTATTTCATCAAACTATACATTTTCCTGCATATCATAGAAACAGTTCATATTCTATAACAGATACATACACTCATGATCATTGCTGCTCTAGTCCCAATAACTAGAAAAAGAAATCAGTCTGAATGCCCATAAGCTGATGTCGGGGGGGCTTCCCCTTTCTGAATGAAGACAGAGGAGTGGGTGGGGAGGGAGGCAAGTGGGAGGTGGTGGGAGGTAATAGATGAGAGAAGAAAGTAGAAACTGTGGTCAGTATGTAAAACAAATGAAAAAATTGTTAATTAAATAAAATTAAAAATAAAGCAGCTGAGCAGTGGTGGCACACTCTTTTAATCCCAAGACTTGGGAGGCAAAGACAGGCAGATCTTTGTGAGTTCGAGGCAAGCCTGGTCTACAAAGTGAGTTCCAGGATAGCAAGGGCTGCACAGAGAAACCCTGTCTCAAAAAACTAAAAGAATAAAGTTGACAGATCCCTTTTACCCATTCAAACATAGGACATAAACTCATCTTTAGTTGATTTGTAAACACTACACATTCCATACTTGTGTTAATGCAGATATGTATGCTACAGTCAAAAGTTCGTATGTTTTCCAAATAAAAGAACCAAACATCAATGAAGAAAAGACAATCATTTCAGGTGATACAGGCTCACAAATGGCTCCATTGCAGTTTTCTCAAAAATCTGCATCCAGAACAACTTCAAAGCAGCTAGCTGAGATGGTCTAGTCTTAAAGACTACTTCAGCCAGGACGTTAAGACACAGTGACTGGACATAGAAATAATACAGCTAGCTCCCCAGGACTTAACCATTATTCATTTTTCTCAGAGTCACCTAAAGATACCATTGCTGCCAAATGACAGGAAATAATTTTAAGAACATGACACTCACATTCCCAAGAGGTGGAATTAGTGAGTTTTGGTCTTTTGGTGAATTACAGACGCTTGTCATTGCAAGCTGTTATCAGTTATAGTCAGGGAGGAAACTAAACAATGGAGGTAAGATTAAGGGCTTCCTTTTTCCTTCCTTCCTTCCTTCCTTCCTTCCTTCCTTCCTTCCTTCCTTCCTTTCCTTCTCTCTCTCTCTCTCTCTCTCTCTCTCTTTCTTTCTTTTGTCCATCCTTCTTTCTCTCCTATCTAGTGAAAAAATAAGGCAGGGAATATAGGAATGACAGGATAAAAGGGTAGATTATTGAATCTACTTTTATGCTTAAAAGCAACTACTAATCTCAAATATTTTACACTGGTATGGATTTCTGTATATCCATACAAATTTAAGGTTATTTTTGTTATAATATACTGTACATATGTTTCTACTCTTCTTTAAGATATTGAAGTATGCAGCTCATTTTAAAATGTAATGTAAAGTTAATGTTTAGTTCTTAAAGCTATTATTGCAAACTATTTAGGATTATTAAGAAATGCAGGTTAATAGTTATTCATCTATAACAATCAAACATGTAGTCATGTTAGGTGTGTTTTCAGGGTTAAACAGAGATATATTTTAGATAGATAGGTGGTCTTCAAACACTTCAGAGATCTACAGAATATGGCATTTAAGATGTTTTAATAACATAAGACTTTTCATGATAGTGAGATATGTATGCTCCTGGCAGTACCAATTTACTTCAGTGAAGATGACGGACATTAAAGAAACTCATATGGAGTTTGCTTTCAACATGACAAAGCTAGCCACTAAGAAAGAAACTTTCCTTGCCTCAATTACTGACAGTATGTCTAAACTGGACAAGCAGAACACAATGAAAGTCTACTGCTAAGCCTTGCCAAGACAAAGTAGGATAGTTCCTCAAAATTCCTGATTCACAGAACAGTCTGTCAGACTGTCTGGGTCTATAGGCTGAAGACAGATGCCCCATGATTGCAGAGGAAACTTGGGTGACTGTCCAGGCAGCCAGCTGTGTCTGCCATTTCTATGGTTTTAGAATTTGCTTTTTCTGTACTTCCTGTTTACTCAGGAAATAGTTTAGCCTTCCCTGGTCACTGATGGAATTGAAGACTAGATAGTTACAGTTTTACAGTTTTCCTCATTACCAATCAGAAAAGAAACTCACAAAAGGGAAGTAAAGTTCATAAAGGTTAAGAGACATAAAAGCTTAAGTTGTTTGTCTAAGAAAATGTTTTAAGGTCTAAAAAGATATTTTAGGTTTGTAATACAAATTATGGTAGAAAGTTTAGGTACAAAAGTTTGGGCTCACCAAGATAGGATAGATAATAGAGTATTTTTTCCAAAGTTGTCAAATAAAAATAAAATGGACATTATGAATGTAATTCTTACCTATATAGTATACAGTTTAACTCGGTTAGAGTTAAAGCCTTTCCTTTTTTATTTTAAACAAGAAGGGGAAGTATTGGAGGTATCTGATCATACTGTATGTGAAGATGTGTCTCTCTGTTCTTCCTTACTTGCCTCAGGCACTTCGGATTGGTTTAATAAAGAGATGAATGGCAAATAGCTAGGCAGAAGAAGATAGGTCAAACTTTCGTGCACAGACGGGAACTCTGGGAAGAATCTGAGGGGTGGGGGATTCACCAATCAGATGCAGAGGAAGTCAGACATACAGAGGAAAAGTAACGAGCCACATGGTAGAATGTAACAAATATAAACAGATTAATTTTAAGAGCTAGTTGAGAACAAACCTAAGCTAATGCCAAGCTTTCATAATTAATAAGAAGTCTCTGTGTCATAACTTGGGAGCTGGTGCTCCAAAGAAAGACCAGCTAAAGGTACAGGTACACATCAGAATCCCACTCAGCAGAGAAGAAAACCAAAATGGAATTTGCAGGAAAAGGAATGTAACTGGAAATGTAATTCTAACAAACCATGTAACCTAAGCACGCAAAGTTAAATGCTGTCTGTATTTCCTTTATATGGTTCTATGTCTGATCTGATACCCATATGTTTCAAAACTGGATGAGTATCTATAGAGACCATGGAAAAGAAACATTTCATGAGATCTGTGGGTGGGCAGGCGTGGTGCAGGGACAGCAGAATGCGTGGGATGTGTAGATAGTGCGCTGAGCATAGGACTGAAAAGGACAAAACAAGCATGGGAATGTGAGGAGGAGTTTTGAATATCAAGGTTTAGTTATAAAGTGATTTCCAGCCCAGTCTTCTGTTACACAAGTATCACTGTCTTTTAAAAAAAAAAAAAAAGGATAATCCAGCAGGGAGGTGTAAACCTGTCATCTCAGAATATGAGGCAGAGGAGAATGATGTGTGAGTACAAGGCTAGCCTAGTGTGTACCAGGAGTTCTTGTGTTATACAGGGAAACCCTGTCGCCAAAAGCAAAATGAAATAGAGAAATGACAATAAATATTACTATAAATTAAAAGGGAAATCAATGTAAATGCGCACAAAAGTGTAATGAATTCATTATAAATGTAAAGCACACGGAAGTCAACTATGCAGCACAATCTAGACTCAGCATCACTAACCCAGAAGCCCAGCAAGATCTGTGTTGAGACGAGTTCATGGCAAAGACTCACTAAGTGCTAAGGATTACAAAGAAGCAGCTTCGCAAGGACAGTGGCTCAAGGCGGCCTGCAGGGTGCACACTTCAAGAGAACATGGGCGCAGCACTGCCATCTCCAGACTCCACCTCCACGGGGCTGCATAGCACCAGGGGAAACTTCAGAGGCTGGCGAGAAAGGCCTCCAAAGCAGCAAGTGCTGCAAATTACAGCCTAGGTCTCAAACCCTCAAAAATTGCTGAGGTGTCTATTAAGGTATCAAAGAGAATGTTGACTGCCAGTCCACCTGTTACAGCGTCCTCCGGACTGGCATACCCCACTCCTACCCTAAACTCTGTGACCCAGTGATTAGGCTGGGTTTTCCTTTCCCCAGCTTCTCTGATTCTATATAATTCAGCCATTTTAGCTACTATGGTATCTTGGCCTTTCTGCCTCTTGGCCACTTGATACCCTGCTCTCCTTTCTCTCTTCTATTTGTCTCTTGCTTTTCCTACTCTCTCTCCTAACATGATCCAATTAATTCTGGATCACTCCAGATGTCCCTGGCTGCTCGCTCTCTCTCTTTCTCTCTGTCTCTCTCTGTCTCTGTCTCTCTTCCCCCCCCACATATTTACAATAAACCATCCCCTCACCCATTTAGGGCCGCAGTCAGTCCCCTTTTTTTTTTTTTTCTCCCCCCCCCCCCCCCCAGGGATTTCAGAAGCCCAGGGCACACTCACCATTCTGTGCATCTGATGTGTCTAGGTGTCCACCTGAGGATGCCAGAAGTCAGCAGGACACAAAGTCACCCAAAACAGGTGCTCAGGAGAATACCCTTTTCTAAGAAAAAGAAAGCAAAATATAAAGCTCCAAGTAGATTCCAACACAGCAACCATATATAGGGCTTGATAGGCAACCTCAAACATTAGGGATGAGGCAAAAGTCAATGACTTTCTCTCATTTCATTTTCAATATATTCATTCTCTGCCAATATAAAACTTAAAACACACCAACGAGGGAATACAATTACTCAATGGATGGACAAAATAGGCATACATGGCGGGAGTACTCCACTTGGATTCTGAGTTATGAAAAGCATCTCTTGAATTTCAGAAAAGGTTTTCTTTGCCCAATGTCATGAAGAAAACCTCCAGTCACTAAATTACACCCAAACCTCAGGATCTCACAGACTGCTAAAAGTAAAATAAAATAAAAATTCACAGTGGCCATTCTTTAGTGATGATACAAAGATACTAAGTGACTTAACCTTGGGACCTCATCCTGGCTGGTATTGCTTCCAGGGCCATGAAACAACTCCTTCAACACCACAATAGTCATTAGACAAATAATGTCACTCACATGAACATTAAGACTTATTTCATTTCATGTGTATGGATTTTTTTTTCTTTTTTCAGGTACATCAGTGCACTTCATATGTGTTTGGTGCCAAGAGAAGCCAGAAGACATTACATTCCCTGAAAGTAGAGTCATAGACTGTGTGAGTAGATTCTGGGAATCAAACATGGTTCTCTGGAAAAGAAATCTATGCTCTTAACTGCTGACCCATCTCTCCATCCCTTATTCTCATCAAGATTTTAACAGAAATAAACAGTAAAATTCACCAATACTTTCTTTAGGCATCTATCAAATTGGGTCTCAAAACATGACCATTATAGATGCTCTGCATAGGAAAGGGAGTGTTTTTGGCCAATTTTAGCAATAATGTATGTGTGTGCACACATGTACACACACACACAACAAATCACCACTACCATCAAAAGAACAACAAAAACAAATTAAAAAGAATTAACAGGGCTGAGGAGCTAGCTCAGAGGTTAAGAGCACTAGCTACCCTTCCAGAGGTCCTTTGTTCAATTCTCAGCAACCACATGGTGGCTCACAACCATCTGTAATGAGGTCTAGTGCCCTCTTCTGGCATGCAGGTATACATGCAGGAGAAACATTGGATACATAATAAATAAATAAATAAATAAATTTTTTTAAAAAAAAAATCAACAAGCACTGCTGGTTGATATCAATGATCTGAATTCCCCCAATAAAAACACACAAACTAACAGGATGGGTGTGGAAACAGGGTCTGTCTGCTGCTTCCAGGAAATGCACCTCAACATCAAGGATAGACATCACCTCCAGGAAAAGTGATGGAACAGATTATTCCAAGAAAATGGACCCAAAAGTAAGCCAGTGTAGCCATTTTAATATATGACAAAATAGACTTCAAACTAAAACTAATCAAAAGAGACAAGAAAGGACACTCAAAGGACATTTCTATTCCTAACATCTATTTCCCCAAAACAAGGACATCTAAGTTTGTTTAAACAAACAAACAGAAACAGAAACACTGCTACAGCTTAATTGACCCATTGACTCTTACACAATAATAGTGAGAGACTTCACTATTCCACTCCCACCAATACACAGATCATCCACATAAAGCTAAGCAGAGAAATGCTGGATCTAACTCACAGTATAAATTAAATGAACTAAAGAAATACAAAACATCTCATCCAAATACAAAAGAATATACCTTATACTTGAGACCTCGTGGAACTCTGCAAAATGATCACATATTTAGGCACAGAGCAAGTCTACTGAGAAAGAACAAAACTGAAATATAACCCTGCATTTTATCTAAGCATCATGAAGTGAAACTGAGTATCAACAAGAGAAACCATAGAAAACTTTACTCCATGGGATGTGAACAACGAACTACAGAATAAACAATTATATGGATAAAATTATACAATTTACATTAATAAAAATAGGTCAAGACAGAACAAATGAAAGACTCTCTAGAATTGCATGAATAAGAGAATACACAAAATGCACAGACTTAGGGAAGGCAATGATGGCATTTCTAAGATGCACGTTCATCACACAGATTGCCTACATACAAAAGAAACCCAAACAGATCTCAAGAATAACTTAACAATACACTTGGACTATCAAGAAGAAATCACACTCAAAATGAGTAGAAGACAATATGTAATCAAACTCATGGCTGAAATCAATAAAATACAACCAATAAACAATACAAAAATCAGTAAAATAAAGAGTTTTCTCACTTAAAAAATATGAGATTGGCAGACCCTTATCCAAATTAACCAAAAAGTACAGAGAAGAACAACATTAACACAATTAAAAATGAAAAGAGATTCAAGAAATATCTGATAAAATCCAACAACTCTTCATTGGGGTGGGAGGTCCTTCTGTCTATGTGCTGCTTTTACTGGTTAATGAATAAAGAAACTGCTTTGATCCTATAGCAGAGCAGGGCAGAACAGAACTAGGTGGGGAAAACTAAACTGAATGCTTGGAAAAAGAAGGCAGAGTAGGGAGAAGCCATGTAATCCTGCTGAAGACAGATGCTGGAACTTTACCCAGTTAGCCACAGCCCCGTAGCAATACACAGATTAATAGAAATGGGTTAAATTAAGATGTAAGAGTTAGCCAATAAGAAACTAGAGCTAATAGGCCAAGCAGTGATTTAATTAATACAGTTGCTGTGTGATTATTTCGGGAGTCTGAGCGGCTTCCTACTGTACTTCATGATAAAAATCCAGGAGAAATTAGGGATTCAAGGGACATGTTCAACATAATAAAGGCAGTTTACAGTGATCCCAGGAACAACAACAACTTAGATGAAGGAAAGACAATTGTACAACCCAAAACAAGACAAGGTTGTTCACTCTCTCTACACCTATTTTATGTGGTCCATTTTTTTTAATAACTTATTTTATGTGCATTGGTGTGAGTGTGTCAGATCCCCTGGAACAGAGTTACAGACAGTTGTGAGCTGCCATGTGGGTGCTGGGAACTGAACCTGGGTTCTCTGGAAGAACAACAAGTGCTGTCAAGCACTGAGCCATTTCTCCAGTTCGTGGTCCATTTTTCTTTTAACTATGTTGTTTGAGTTCCTGATATTTAGTTGCTTTGTTTTTAATTTGATATATATTCCAGCCACAAATCCTCTGTCATATGTATACCTTACAAAGATTTTCTGTGGAATGCCTCTCTTCTCAGTTCCTTTCCTTTGTTGTCCACAAACTTTTCAGTAGGAGGTGACTTCAGTAGAATCTTGCAAAACAGGATAAATATATATGCATATAACCAGTGGGGATAGTACTGTTTATGTGATATGAATGAACAAGGAGGAAATACTGGAGACTGAAGGTTGAAATATGGATGAAAACAGCATAGAGGAAAGTAGGGTTAGGAAGTGGGTTAAAGAAAGCTACATATGTATTTTAAAAGCCTTCTGAAACACCACTAGCTTGTAAGCTACTTAAAAATACCTTTATGGGGAAACAGCAGAGCATCTCTATGAAGCCCTTGCTCTCCTGGAACTCTGCCTTTCTGTGTAGATCAGATTTTGAACTCTGCATGTAGGAAAGTAGTCTAACCACAAACCCACAAAGCTCTGAACAAGCAGCTATCACCACACATTAGAGAAAAATGCTGGTCCCAAAATCCATGAGTGACTAAATAAAATGTCAGTGTCAGGCACAGGTCACTGGTCAGAGAGGGTTCCACAAAAACGATATAGCCTATTGTTAATGGTGTTGGTTGCCCAGAAAAGTAAGATGATAAAATCCTATTGCTAAAGACACAACACATGTTGATTGCACGACACAGAGAAATCAATCACGAACTGACCAGGAAAGTTCCAGGTGCCTATCTTTCATAGTGTTGAAATATACTATGAAACCAGGGTATCCTGAGGTAGACTGGAATGCTACAAAATAGATGCCAGACAAGATACACCAATAGGAAAGAATGTTGATGGAGCTAAGCAACTGTTGCCAGTAAGATTTCAGGCCTGTTCCACAGAAAGGAAAACATACCTGGTACTTTCAGAGTCAAAACCCATGGCTAGGGAAGTCATTACTTCTCTTTCTACACCACTCTTGCAGGTGCTAGGATTTCGATCATGAGCCACTATGATTAGCAACACCTAATACTTTTCTTCCCTTCAATAATAGTCTCACAACTGTTCTACACAATCCCTACTATGGAGCTATTTTTCCTGTAGAAGAAATAAAGTTGGGTCATATATTCAATTGTTCTGTCACTGCCCGCTAACCGGTGTATACACACACATACATACACACACACACACACACACACACACACACACACACATACACACACACAGAGCACTCTTGAGTAACTGATCTTTAAATTGAAATTTGTAATGATAGTTTGTAAGCTTTTATGTGTAACACCTTTATTGCAATAAACTAGGTTTTGCTTAATTTTCTTTAAGCATTATTTTAATTAAAGCAATATTAATTTCAGAAGAGGAAAATGTCTGCTGAGTCATCCGTCTCCCTTGGGCAAATGATTTCAGGAGAGAAGGACTACATACAAACACAACCCAGGAAGCAGCATCAACTTCTTCATTCCCAAGTCCCTTCCCATGTCCTATAAAGAGTCCCAGACAGCTTGCTCCCAGGGCACAGCAGGAAAATCAGTGTCATTTGCTGTCTGTGTTCATGACCAGTGTTGTCTGCTGAGATCAGGCTCTGGTCTCTTTCCACCACAACACAGCTCAGCTTCTACACAGGATTCAACCCCAGCGGCAGTGATGAAGCTTCATGAATATCCATGCACCTCAGTGGACATTTGAAAAAGGGAAGTAACAGCATCTCTGACTGTCTAAAGATACATAAAACCTAGATATTCCCGATTCAAGATCCTAATGCCAAACTCAATACAGTTGGGTAATTAATATCCTTAAAAGGGATAAGGGTAGAAGGAATAATGGGATTGAGGGAATCCCTTTGTCTGTGCAGACATGGAACAGAAATGGGCCTGCTCTGCAAACACAAGGGTGTGGAATGAGGTAAACACATTTGAGGTTTTTTTTTTTACACCTCAAGCTTCAACTTATCCATTTTCTAATGATTTTTAATTAAAGTATAATTTAACTGCTGTATACTTTACTAAACCTTGACAGTGAATGATTTTAAATAAACTTAAGACTTGATTTTTTAATTAGAGATATGACTTATCTACTGGAAACTATAAGCAATTATTTTGAAGAAATGTAATGCCTGGGGTTTATGTTTTAAGGATATTAATTACTTAAGGAAGTCTGAGATCACAGGGATAAGTCATTTTCTCAATCTTTATATTTTAGGAATCACGGAGACTAAAGGATCATCTCTGAGGTGAGGGCCTTGTTGACAATAATGAAAGTGTACCCCTGTATAGAGGTTACTAGGTCTTAAAAGAAACAAGAACATTTTAGACTCTTTATAGCCTCAGATCTGAGACTATGAGTAACTTAATAACATATTGACTAATGGTTTATCTAACTATTATAAAAAGGAAGCTTTAATTATACTATGAACTAAAAGAAATTTAGGCCAACCCGGAAGTTTTAATTAAAAGATCACTTTATTATAAGCCAAATTGTAGAATGGAAACTATATAAAAACACAAGTACAAGAAAACACTACATATACACACGTATCTCCAAGATCATTTTAAAGACAAGATATTGTAATATTTTGCAGTTGTAGCTTAGGCTATTGTTTAGAACTTAGATTATATTTTATTAGCATTACCTATCCTGAATCGAAAGCCTGTCCTTTAGAAAACATGGTTATAATCTGAGTAGAACACCTTGATGTCAAAGACATGGATAGAGCCTAATCTCAAAATTGTTAAGGTTTGAGTACATAGAACAGACATCAGCTTTCTATTGAAATTATTTTTTTTCCTGTTAATTTAAATTGGACAAGACCAGAACTTGGAAAAACCTGTCACCAAAGAGGAGTCTTACTTTTTATGAGTTAAAATTTATCTTAGAAATATTAATTATTGCTAGCTTAATAATTAAGAGCATAGACAATTTTATTTAGTTAGAAACAACTGATTTCTAGTTGATTTGATATTATATAATTTACATAATTTAATAACTGCCTAAGACAAATATGAACACTGCAGTTTTCGAGATCAAGGGATAAAAGACACAAGGAGAAAGAGATTACCCTTATTGAGAAGCAGCTCAATTCCACACAGTATTCTACAATGCAATTATCGAACTCAAAATCCAGCACTTTAGATCACGTCAGTCAAAACCCTGAGCAGAATGGGATTGGTCTTCAAGAAGTCAACCCCCCCCCCCCGCCCCAGTTAAGTAGGTATCAGCAACTAGTGACTGGGGGGGGGGGGGGTGCAGAGTTATTTTTCCTCTGGAATGTGACCACTAGTAGGTTGTCCATGCCCTGTGGATGGCCACACACACTTGGACAGCACTAAGTGAACCCATGAGTTATAGGAAAGAAAGAAAAAAGAAAAGAAGGAAGAAAGGGAGGGAGGAAAGGAGGGAGGAAGAAGGAAGAAAGGAACAAATAAAGGCAGACAATAAAAACAAAAGACACACAAAATTAAGTTCCAGGTATGCTTACGGTGTACAGGCTAAATATGATTAATATATATCACTTTTATGTAGGACATTTCCAGTAATAAAAATATATTTAAAAGTTTTGCTCAGCTTTTTAATAACAAAATAACAAAACAGATGTCCACAGAGCTAGAAAACAGTTAAGCTGGTGAAAAGCTTGCCCTGCAACCCTGAAGACCTCAAACCCTATTGAGGATGTGTGCAAAAGTGAATTCATATGCACTATTAATGAGAGTTTAAAGTGCTGGAATTAAGCAAATCAACGTGCGCCTGCCTCAAAAGTAAAAAATAGAAATAGCATCTCACCAAGACAAACCTCTCTGGGCTTCTCCTGAAAAGAGTCCACACACTACAACAGATACATGCACACGCATGGTGATTGCTGCTCTAGTCCCGGTCGGTGAAAAAGGAATCAGCATGGATCTTCATCAGGTGACGTCTGGATAACGGAGATGCGGCACATAAATATAATGACTTCCACTCCGCAATGAAGAAAACTGAAGTGAAAGTCCCAGCAGATGGGTGGTAATGGAAACGTAATTACACTGAGTCAGGTAACCAGAGCCCACAAAGTAAGGCACGATGATGCAAGACTTTCATCTAAGAATGCATGAAGCAGAGAAGGGCGATCTCTGAGTTCAAGGTTAGGCTAGTCAACACAAGGAGATCCAGGGCTACAGAAAGAAAAACCCTACTGCCAAAAACAAAACAAAACAAAACAAAACAGATCCTACTAGCCAAACAGTGATGAAGAAACCCTGTCTCCGAAAGAAAAAAAAAAGAAAAGGAAAAAAGAAAAATATTAATTACAAATTAATTGAGTATCAAAATAACTACACACAATAAATTTATAAGTGTATCCCACACTCAAGCCAATGTTCAAATAAAACACATTTTTTCTACTAGGTAGAAAGTACACTTGTCTTTCTCTCAGATGAATATTCTGAAGCTTCCCGAATGGTCAGAAATTACACTACCTACATAAACCAACGATCCAGAGGCAAAGAGAAAGAGATGAAATATTAATTTTTTTCTCCAAGGACTGCAAACGTGAAAATAACCTGTTAGAAAATTGACACTCATTAGGCCGGGCGGTGGTGGCCCACGCCTTTAAATCCCAGGGACTCGGGAGGCAGGGACAGGTGAATCTCTGTGAGTTCGAGGCCAGCCTGGTCTACAAGGGCTAGTTCCTGGAAAGGATCCAAAGCTACAAAATAACCCTGTCTCGAACCCCCCCCCCAAAAAAAACACCAAAAAAGATAAGAAAGAAAATCGACACTCGCAATCCCTTCTGTTTAAAGCAGCGCACAGCCAACATACAATGCCAATCCCATAAAGCTCTTTTCGAGCTTCCCTGGCCTTTTCGGCAAAGTTGGAGAAAACTTTTCAAAATTCCAAAATTTCAAAATTCTTAAAAGATCACTGCAAAACAAAAAATGAAACAAATTGACATTTCTCTCTTCAGACTGGTAATTCTGGTCATCTGCAGTTAGGAGAACAATTAAAAATTCTCACAGTTATTTTAAAAAATGGAAGAAAAGGGCAAACACTATACAGGATGAGGTAGGTGTTAAGGCAGTTTGGTGGGAAACTTCTCTAATAGCAAGAAACATGGGAAACAATTTAAGGGAGACCAGATGGGAGAGGAAAGGGAAGGTGAGACGAAAGAACTCCAAGGCGATGGCGTGCAAAAAACAAACAAACAAAAAAACAACCGAAAGAACAGACAAACAAACAAAACGTAAATCAGCCCAAACAGAAGCTCAAGAGAAGGGAAACTGCAAGGACCAAGCAGGTCCCTCCACAGCGCAGTCTGGACACAGCATCACCAACCGCCAGCGCTGCAGAATCTGTGTAGGCGCAGGTTCACTGTAAGGACTCACCCAAGAGTGCTGGGATTGCGATGAAGCAACTTCACCAAGACAGAAGAGCGTGGGACGCGAGGCTCTAGGCTGCCTGCGGGGTGCACACTTCAGGCACAGGTGGGCACAGGCATTGCTGAGCCAGACTCCGCCTTCCACTGGACTGCACGGCACCCCGAGAATTCCAGCAGCCAAAAGCGCACTCACCGTTCCGTGCTTCTGACGTGGCTAGGTGTCCTCCCAAAGAGGACTACACTCAGCAGAAAACACGGTCACCCAAAACAGGTCTTCCAAGGATCCCGCGTAATAAGCAAAGCGAAAAAAAAAAAAAAAAAAAAAAAAAAAAAGGCTTCCTGGACTCACGCTCTGACTATCCGTGTTGCTCATTGGAGAGTCTTTTCCTTTTAGTAATATGGTCCCTGATTGGCGAACCGTACTCCAGTCGCTCTGTCAGGGTTAAGAGCTAAACCTTTTAGGAAAAGTCAGGCGAAAGCTCTACTGCCAGCATTTTTAAGGGAGGCAGAGTTTTGTAGTGACACTGACTCAAACCAAACAAATATGGCAAACATGGTGGTAGGCATTTTTTTTTTTTCCGTGATGGGAGTTCGTTTTGTCGATTCCCTTGCCTCTGCCCCCAAATGCTGGGATTAAAGGCATTCACCACCAAACCCAACGAATGGCAGGCATTTTTAATCCCTGAAATGTTGAGGCAGTAGCAAGAAGATCACTAAATTGGAGGCTCACTTTATACAGAGAACTTCAGCACATACTACCTAAAAATGTCCTATCTAGAAAAAAAAACGTATTTGAAAAACAAGCAAAACAAAAGCTAATAAACTAAATAGACAAAACCCACATTAACATATAGGTCTTGTGCTCAGAAATAAACCTATTCCATTTGAGGATTTCATTGCTTGGTAAGAACGTGTCTGAGATTTTGGGTGTGCTCACTCACTTGCAGTATTCTGAGAATACCCAGTATTCCCCACTTGCTTTTTTTTTTTTTTTTTTTTGTGAAGCTGGTGTTTTCTTTTCTTTTCTTTCTTTTTTTTCCTGTACATTCCAATCTCTTGACTCAAAGGGAAGAAACAGAACTCAGGATAGGAGCAGGGCCAGGTAGATTCAAGCACAGAAACTCCAAATAGGGTTGATAGGAAACCAAAAAGTTTAGGGATGAGGCAAAAGCCCATGACAGCCTCACAACCTATGTTTCAATGTATTATTTCCTACCAATGTGATTAAAACACAATAGTAAGGGAATTTAATTGCTTATTGCATGAATAAAATAGACATACATATCATGAGTACTCCACCAGCATCCAAATAGTGGCTCCCAACTGTCTGAGAATCATTTCTAGTGTGTACAATACCATCTTCCGCCCTCTCAGATTCAGAGTTATGAAAAACAACCTTTGAAAATAAAAAAAAAAATCTTACGCAAGGCCATGAAGAAAGCCTTCATTGACTAGAGTAAATACTCCAAAACCTCAGGATCTCACATACTGCTAACAAAGAGACCCACAGTGGTCATTCTATTCTCTACTGATGATGCAGAGACATTAAATGATTAGTCTTGGGACCTCAGTATGCCTGCTATTGCTTCCATGGTAACAAGGTAAGTCCCCTTAACACCGTAATATTCCTGAGAATAATAATGTCACTCACATACGCATTAAAGTTTATTTAATTTATCTCATGTATACCAGTGGGTTTTTTTTTTGCATATACTTCAGTACGCTAAAATGTGCTTGGGTCACTGAGAGGACGGAAGATGATATTGTATACCCTAGAACTGATTCACAGACTGGTTGGAGTCACTATTTGGATGCTGGGAATCAAACATGGCCCACTAGAGAAGTCTGTGCTCTTAACTGCTGAGTCATCGATCCCATAATCACATTAAAATTTTAATAGACAGTAAATTTCTCAAATATTTTTTTCAGGAGTCTACCACATTGGGTCTCTCTAAACATGACTGTCACAGAGGGTCTTCATCTGTAAGGGACTGTTTTGATGAATCTTAGCCTTGATGATGTCACTGACTGTTCTCCTAGCTAAGCAACTTCCATACTGAGAAGTTCTGAAATACCCCCTTGTAAAAGATTATCACAGCTGGGCTTGCTGACCATTTAAACCCCACAATGAGGGATGGAGAAAGGCAAAAAATTCTCAGCCATTATGGGTCAGCCCAGAGAGAAATAACTACTGAGAAAGCCTGTTGCCCAAGATAGCCTGTTGCCCTTGGGCAAATGATTTCAGAAAGGAGAGACTGCATGTCAGGGCTTAACACAGAAAATTGCTTCAACACCCTGTTACCAAGACCCTCTGAGCACTATAAAGTGTCCCATGTAGCTTGCTCACATTGCACACCTTCCCTGCATTGCAGGAAAGTAGGTATCACTTGCTGTATGTGCTAATGACCTGTGTTGTCTGCTGATATCAGATTCTGGTCCCTTTCCAGCCTTTTGTTTCCTGTACCCTGAAATCTAATACTAAAGAAAATACTATATTTTCTCCAAAGAACTTCATCCAGTAAAATGATTAATTACTGATTAAGTTTTTTTTACAGAATGTCTAATACTTGGATAAGCAGCTTAGATCAAAGCAAACAAATGGCAATCCAATTCTAAGCCTATGATCTCCTTCACAGGGCTCTCAAAGGGCAAGCCTAGGAATGCCCTTTTTTGTCTCAGAAATGGTCAATGCTTAAGAAATTTGATTTAGGAACTCTCTTCCTCTATGGCTGTGGCTTCCTTTTCTCAAAGAGTGAGCAATCCAGTCTTCTAGTATTATCTTTTTTTCTCAAAGAGGGAACAATCCAGTCTTCTAGCATGATCTTTTTCAAAATGATAAGAACACACTCCGAATGATCCATTTTTGCTTGGGTGATCTACTCGAACACCAAAGCCTGCATTTGTGTTATGTCAGGCATGGCTTAGGGTTCAGTCAGTACTGAGAAAATATAAAATTACAAAAGGGATGAGAGGAAAACTCTAAATCCTCATAACCATGGCTCTAAAATGGACCACTGAGAAAGCATACTATCCATGACCCTTCACACCAGTCTGTACTCAGCGTTGTCAATTTGACTGCTTGGCAATTTCTGAGAATTGCAGGTTCCAGGCACCATTTTACACCAAGAAGAAAGTGGCCCAGAAAAAGTAGTTTCCCTAAGAAAAACAGGGTTGGAGGCTTTGTCCTCTGCAGCCTGCTTTGCACACAATTACAGCACACTGGAAATAATGGAGCCAGTGCAAGTCTCTGGGGTATACTCTGCACATGGCTAAGGGAGCAAACACTCAGTCAATAGCTCCACAGTCTCAGTAATGTCACAAATGAACAACCTACAAATCCAAAAGCCCTGGACATACTCACCCTCTCCTGCTTCCAATGGATCAGGGTGTCCCCTAAAATCAGAGAAGAAATGTGATATAAGTCCAATGAAGCACGTCTCAGCTTATACACAGGATTCAAACCAGTGGCAGTGGTGAGGCTTCAGGAATATCCATGGGCATTTCATGAAGGGAAATAGCAGCGTCCCTAATTGATGAAAGAGACTTAAGGTGTAGATATTCCTGATTCAAGATCCTAAGGACAAAACCATTAAAGTAGAAATGAGGTCAACATGTTTAAGCTTTTTTCATACATGAGGTCTCCTTCTATTTCCGTTGGTTTGCTTGTTTCTTTTTGTGAATCAGCTTCTCTCTATTATGTAGCACCAATTGTCCTTAAACACAGCGTAGACCAGGGTAGGCTGATCTTCCTTCACCTGCCTCTGCTTTCAGAGCACTGGAATAAAGGGTGTAATGTACCATTTCCTGGTACTCCATCTATTCATTATTTAATGAGAAAATCTAAATATCAAGAAAAGAATAAAATTTTTACATAGCATTGAAACTGGAGGCTTATTTCTCACCCGCCAGTTCCCGAATAACTACTCAGAGGCTTAATATTAATTACAAATTGTTGGCCCTGTTATCTCACGTTTATTTTTAACTACCTCTTACAACTTAAATTAACCAATTTCTATTATTCCTTATTTTGCCACGAGGCTCATGGCTTGTTACCTCACATCTTGCTTCTCTGGTAGTTGTTGGTATCCCCAAGACTCCACCTTCTCTTTTTCTTAATCTTTGCTTGGCTTTCCTGCCTGGCTATTGTTCAAATTAGCTTCTTTATTAACCAATGGTAATAAAACGTATTTACAACATAAGAAGGGCATCCTACATCACAGCACAGAGCAATGAAATTACATGTCAGACATATTTTACAAATGATTCAAAAGATATGAAAAACAAGGCTTAAGTTCAGACAAAGATATCCTTTGGCCCTAATAGAAGGAATGTCTACATTCACAATGGTAGAGAGAGACAGAGGCAAGCTGAGATCTAGGCCAGCCTGGTCTACAAAACTACTTTCAGGACAGTCAGGGCTGTTTCATAGAGAAATTCTGTCTCTAAGTACCAAAAAAAGAGATTATATTTAATTAGCATTTGCAATCAATAATCTAAAACTTGTTCTTTTTGTTTGTTTGTTTTGGGTTCTTTTTGTTTTAGTTGTTTTGGGCTTTTTATTGATTTTTATTGAGCTCTATATTTTTCTCTGCTCCCCTACCTGCTTCCCACTCCCCTTTAACCCTCTTCCAAGGTCCTATGCTCCCAATTTACTGAGGAGAGCTTGTTCTTTTTCTACTACTCATGTAGATTAAATCGATGTATGTCTCTCTTAGAGTCCTCATTGTTGTCTAAGTTCTCTGGGATTGTGACTTTTGGCCTGGTTTTCTTTACTTTATATTTAAAAACCACTTATGAGTGAGTACATATGATAATTGTCTTTCTGGGTCTGGGTTAATGATGCGGGAGAATTGTCTGTATTCTGTCAATCATATTTTAATAAAATGCTGATTGGCGAGGCAGGCAGTATAGGTGGGAAAACCAGACAGGAAGTAGAGGTGATGCAATGAGAACAGGAGTATTCTGGAAAGCAGGAAGCCATTCCTTCACTCCTGCGCAGATCACTGAAGAGGCAGCATGTAACTTGCCCAGCTGAGAAAGGTACGGAGCCATGTGCTAAAGTAGATAAGGATAATGGGGTAACATAAGTTATAAGAACCAATAAGTAGTCAGAGCTAATGGCCAATCAGTTTATAATCTTATGGAGTCCTGTGTATGATTTCTCTTTGGGGCATGACGGCTGAGGGGTACTGGGCGGGACAGATACCCCAACAAGCCGGCCCTCATGTTAAAAATGGCGCCCAATGTGGGGCTACAGGTTAACTGACTCAAAATGTTTTTAGCTACATCCATTTGCTTGCCAAATTCAAGACCACACCCTAGAATGA